TTCCACAGCAAGCCTTTAAGCCCATGTTGGAGGTTACAGGAAATAACCAAGAGGACTGTATGTGGGAGGGCAAGGATGGGGATACTGCTACCCTGGGCCTATAGGGAAAAACAGAGACAAGACATACCTGTCACAAATCAAGAGGACACTGAGAACCAGTGTTTCTCTTCTGTAGCAGCAACACAAAACTTAAGAGAATGCTCAAGTAGGGACCAGTTTTAATAGTGCCATGGTGGTGGCAGACAAGGCAATAATGATGAGATGACAGCTGGGCTCTCAGTCATTTTCACAAGGCCAGTCTTTCCCCAGCCCATCCTAAGATGACAAGGAACTCTGGGAGGAAAACCGCCCTGAGAAGCCCAAAGCCATTCCTTTCCAGCCCCCATGCTTTGTCCTCTCTACTTCCCTATCTCGGTAAGACATGTTCTCCCTCTTTCTGCAGCCAGACTGCAGCTTATTAATTGGGGATGGTTGGAGTCACACTTCTCTTGTTAAAAGCAAATCTCTAGAAAGTCAACGGCACAGTTATTGAGCTTATGCCTGTCACCCCCATACCCCAGGCCTAGGACACAGACACATTCTTGGGTTTTGTTGTGCTGCCTGAGAGGGAGTGGTCCATCCTACCACTGCTTAGGTGGGGAAGGTACTCTGGACTGCAGAAGGCTCTGGAACCCCAGTTCCTCACTTGGGTAGGGACTCCAGAGGCAGCCATCACAGCCTGGCAATTAGGGAAAGCCACAATTATTCTGGCCTCACTGGAAGAATGAGGCAGCTTTTGCTCCACAGCGAATGAGACACAAGCCTCAGAACGGGGAATGTGGCTCTGCCTTCCTTCCCACCCCAGAATGGATGCCAGGACTGGCAAGGGCTAGAGGAAGGCACAGGTAACAGTGCTGTATGTTTCTGCTGTTTTCCCTTCACCCCAGCACCAGACAGAGGGTTGGGCTTGCTCCTGGCCCCATAGTTAGGGAAGGGAAATGGATTTGGGTCCATTCCACAGTCCCTCCAGACCCCCAAGTTCCAGAGGCCCATGCCCAGGAGGCCCCTTGGGAATAGCCAGCCACCGTGATCAGAAATGGACCTTCTTCTCCTGGATCTGTTCCTCTAACTTGCCTCTGATGGGGTCTAAGACACACCTATGTGTTCTGAGGAGGAGAAAATCTAATTTGTCCCAAGGCACCCACACCAACTGTAATGACTGTCAAGAAACCCCTTGCCCCATCTTCCATTGCCTCTTCCTAGCCACGGTTCCTCACGTGAGCCCTGAGGGTACAGATGACTCCTAAGAAAGCCAGCAAAGAGCACTCCAGCTCTTCCATGAGGGCATCGGACCATGGGAGGCATCTCTTCCCCCAGGCAAATATGATTCTCCCCTGCCTGCCTAGCTCCACATTTGGTTGTCAGGCAAAGCTGGTGCCTTCAGGACTATGCCTGGGGATCCTGAGACCCAAGTGGCAGCATAGTGGCAGAGGCATCTAAGAAGCCTACAAGAGACACACAGAGATCAGCTGGCCCTTAGGCCCTTCGCTCTGTCATCCTACAGCTGCTAGAAGCCAGAGATATGCTCCTCCACTTAGTCCATTTTAGGCTGAAAACTCAGAGAGCTTCACTCTGTTGGTCATCCCAAGGGTGCTAGTATTTGGGTCTTCAGCCCATTCTTTACTTATTGATGATGAAAATCTGCTTCCTCACCCAACCACAGCCTACTGCATAAAGCCCTACCCACCATCCAAGGCTTTTGACAAAAGTCCAGGCCCTTGTTCTCAGACTCCATCATTCAATAGCCCTCCTCTTTGGCATTGTGATCAGTCTCTTCTTGCTATCTCTCTGTTCCTATCCTGGTCAGTCCCTTATCAGGTGCACTCTGGGATGGCCAATTCTTTACCCCAGCATCGAAGCCCTGAACCAATCCAATGAAGGTCCCAGTAGAGTGGACACCCACAGCTGATACAATCCCATGAGGAAGGAAAGGCAGGGCAGACCTACCTCCTGGAAGAGGGGGAAATGCTGAAGCATTGCCCTGAGATGCTCATATGTGACCCCCTCAATGCCACCAGGTACCTAGAGCTGCACAGACACCTATTGCTTGGCTGTCATTTCTCCTTCAGAAAGGCTAGGCAAGGAGGTTACAGGCCATTTTTACAGGACAGGGAAATACCATGCTGTGACAGAAGCCTTGAGTTCCACTTGGGTGAGAAGGCTGCCTGCCTTCTGTGCTCCAGGACAGAATGGGCACTCCCTAGATAGTCTGCTTTTCACAGGGAAGTGTCAAGATTACAGGGGTGACAACAGAAGTAACAGATGGTGCTAGGATAAAGCAGAGATGGGGGGTAAGTGACTGACTGGGAAGAATGCCAAGCTTGAGGCTGACAGGCCTCACGTTTCTTCCCTCTCCCCCTCACATCTTCACTTTGCCCAGGTCCTATAAGATCCCCCAACAGGCAGTCTGAACCCTGCCCCATGAGATGCCGACAGGAGAATCACAGGAGCAGACCCTCAGGGCAGGAAGAGGTAAGCCTCAGAGTCAGAGACCAGGAAGGAGGAGGGCCCAGCAAGAGTTAACAGGAGTCTGGCTGCCCAAGGAGGGCAAGAAACGACAGGAAGTCCTGAGAGCTGACCCCTACATGCACCCTCTGCAGCCATCAACCCATGTCCCAAGACTGATCTAGGGCTAAGCAGGGCCCAGTCAGGGATCAAGACTGCTGGGTCTGTGATGTGTACACCATGCTATGGGGGAAAACTGGAACATAGCACACTTTCATCTCAAAGTAAAACTGTAAGTTTTTCTAAGTTCCAAGTCAGGACAGTTCCCAGACCCTCCAGGGCTGGTCTGATCACCATGCAATCCAGAGGGGTAGTAGAGACCTGCTACAGCTCCCCCATACCCTGGGGCTGGTGAGACACCTGAACATGTCTCCAAACAGGTCACAGATTGCAATTAACTTGCCACAAACTCTTTGAAGAATCAGTATGGCTATCCCATTTTATAGCACGATAAGGGAAGAAATTATCTTCCCAGGATGACAAGCCAGGAAGGGAGAGTGGAGTCCAGATTCCTAAATTCAAGCCAAACTCCACCCAAGATCTCCACCCAAATGCAACCCTGTCCAAGGAGGCTGATGGCTCAGAGAGTAAAGGGTGTAGAAGGTGTCCATCCCTCTAGCTTAACCTAGCACAGTAACCAAAGCTCTGAAACTCAGGCTCTATACCTTGACCTGTGCCTATCCCTTCTCTATGCCTTAGCTCACCATGGATAATGCCCAAGCTCCTCAGAGAAATGGCACAAGAACAAACAGATAGAAGGTCCCCCCAAATCCACAGTTGTGCAGGTGGACCTCTCAGCCAGCTCTCTAAGGACCACCTCAGTGATGGAAGTCCCTACCATGAGTACCATGCAACCTGCCAAACTCATTCTTTCATGCTTTTTCACACATGGATGCTGGGTATCCTGTTATTTATTGTGTCCTTACCATGCGCCTGACACTGCTCGAGGACCTCACCTGGATTTTTCTCACTGAGTAGCATCTACAATTCATATCAGGCCCTCTGATTCTGGTTACTCTACAGACCGCTCCCATCTGTGCAAGATCAACTGTTTCAGCAATCTCTGGCCAGAGATAAGACCCAGACATAACTTTCTGGCCACCTGGGCACAGAAAATGCACACAGACACAAAAACACACACAGGTCTCTGGTGTCCAGCTACTCAGCAGGCCTATCAGGATTCAGCTCTGCCTTCTTCTGGTACATAAATTCCAATTTACAGCACAAGGGTAAAGTGGATCTCAGATTGGCCCCACTTCTGAGTCTGCTCCCTATGTAGTTAAACTTAACTGACACATAGCCCCCCTCCCCAGGGGGACTAAAACACCCTGTCTACAAATTATGAAATCAAAGCTCCTGCTTAGTTATACATATTTCTGAAGACCAACAAATGTATTTTCAGATTAAAGGGGAAATTTACATATATAAATTCAGATGACAGTATTTATAGCTTTAATTACATAAGTCCCAGCTCCTTTATTTAGCCCCAGAACCAATTCGTTATCGGTCACATATTCAGAATTCTCCCTCCCTCCCAACAGCCTTGGGCCCTCCTCCCTCTCTTCTTTCTCCTCCCCCTCCTCCCCTTCCAGCAGACCAGGGCCTCATATGCTGGCAAGAGGACACAGCTTCCCTCACTGTCACAGCCTAGCCTCTCGGACACACCCAGATCCAGCCTTAGACACCAGAGGAGGACAGGCACAATCCCCCAAAGGCCTCCCCCCTGGATGAATTATAAAAACCTTTAGGAAGTTGGCTATGGTCTGGCTCAGATCCACAGACACCCTACAAGGACCATCAGGGACGTCAGCCCAATAGAAGGCAGACCTTGACCGGGGCCCAAACAAACACCCAGTGGGCTGAATCTGGAATTGCTCCAGTTCTTGGAGAATGGCTGCCGCAGACCCGACCACTGAGGCCTGACCTGTCTGGAATCGCACCCAGGATCTAAGAGCGGGGAGGGGAAGTGGAAGGGAGGAGGGGGAAGGAAAAGCGGGCCCAGGGTCTTCGGGACCCAAATCTGCAACTGGTCTGAGCTCATTTGGGAGATTCCCTCGATCCTTAGGACTTCATCCTCACTGTTTGTGCCCATCCAACAGCACCTGCGCGGCTAGCAATCTCCCCAGCGGTGCAGAAACACCCTGGGAGGTGGGAATCAGGAATGTCCCGGATCCTCCCCTCAGGCTCCAGGACCAGGGTCTCTCTCCATACCTGCCCACTGTCTTTGCTTCTGCCCGCGAAAGAGATTTACTCGCCAGCCTCCTAGCAAGGCGCCCCCGCCCGACGACCCGAGACCCCTGGCAGGCGCGGCCGAGAGCCCGCTCCGGAGTCCCGGAGTCGGCCCGGCGTCGAGGCCCGGGCGCGGCAGTGACAGTCCGCCGCGCGCCCCCCGGCCAGCTGCAGGCGGCCCCCCTCCCGCACCTCCCGCGCGCGCCGCTGCGGAGCAGGGCCCTCACCGAGAAGCGTTCCAGGTCAGTAGCCGCCATGGTGAGCTCCGCGCCGGGCGGGCGGGCTGGAGCGAGCGCCGGGGCCGCGACAGGGACAAGCCGGCTGCGGGACGCGCTCCGCCCGGGCGGCTGCGGCTGAATGGATCCAATATGGCCACTTCCTGGAAACTCCCCTTGGCGGCGGCGGCGGCGGCGGCGGGAGAAGCCGCGGAGCCGCCCCCGCCCCCGCCCCCGCCCGCGGGACCGGCCTCCCCGCCCGGCCCGGCCCGGCCACGAGCGCAGCCCGAGCCCCGCGGCTGGGACGGCCGGGGGTCTCCGCTGCAAGGCGGGAGGTGCCAGCTGCGGGGGCTGCTGGGACTTGTAGTTTGCGAGTTGGGGGGTGGGCTCAGACCTCTGTGTCTGGGGGACGCGTGTCCTTGGGAGCCTGGAGCCGAGCTGGGTGGGAGGTGTCCTGAGCCTCCGCAATAGGAAACCAGTTTCGGTAGGGAGGAGAGAGGGACCCTTGTGCGCCCTGGGGGCTCCCCAGCCAAGCCGGAGCCTGCAAATGTCCTGGGACCACCCGCCAGAGTGCCAACGAGCTGCAGGCGGTCGGTGGCCTCCGACAGAGGCAGCCTCAGCCTACTTTGTCAGTGCCTTGAGTCCCACCTGATGCTCACGCTGCAGCTAGGGCGGGAAACCGGGCGGGACCGGCGCGTCCGGCCCGGCGGCCTTCCCAAGCAAGGGACCAGCCTTTGGCTCCTTGCGCAACTAAAGCGCAGGATGCGCAGTTCCAGCTGCGATTCATGCAACAGAAAGGGGAGCTCGGTGGCTAACGCATCCCATTGCTAGCGATCATCACCCTCCCTGCCCCAAGAGCTTGGGACGGCGTATTAATGGAGTCCTGGCACTGTGCAGAGGACCATAGCGCCCGCTGCAAGCACATTTTCTCTGCTAAGCTCACCACTCAAAACGTTCATTAAACTCAGAAAAGTAACCACCTATGCCCAGGCTGCAGGCCTCGGGGCACTTGGTATCCTTCTCAATGACTATCCGTACGAAACGCAGCTCCAAGACCTTGGAAACCCTCCTTTTCTTTCCTTCCTCTCAGCCTGTCCCTCCTCTAGCATCATCCCAGGTGTGTCCACCCTCCAACCCCGACTTGGAAACCAGTGCTGTCCCGAGATGCCTGAAGACCACATCTGACTTGACACACCCCAGGCTTCGGAGAGCTCCCCTCCATGGCTGTGGTATCCTCCACTTTCTCACTCTGAAGTGACTTTCCTTTCCTTTCTCTCCCCAGCAAAATGTAACTTGTCACCATTCCTCTCTCTACCACACTGTGTTGTTTTTGTTTTGAGAGTGTTTGTTTTGTTTCTGGTGGCACTGGAGTTTGGACTTAGGGCCTCAAGCTTGCTAGGCATCAGTCACCACTTGAGCCACTCCATCAGCCCTTCTTAGTGATGGGTTTTTTTGAGATAGGGTCTCACGAACTATTTGCTCCGAACGGTGATTCTCCAGATCTCTGCCTCCTCAATAGCTAGGATTACAGGAGTGAGCTACCGGCACCGGACTAGGTTGTTTCTTGTAAATTTCTCTTACATAAATAGGTCAGAGCAGTGACTAAGGGAACTGGATCTATGGCAAACCTTCCTGGTTGGAATCCTGCCTCCATCTTTTGCTAGTTTAACTTTACCTTACCTGGGCAAGTTGCTTAACTATGCCTTCCTCTCCTTACCCTAAAAGTATAGGTACCCTTGTACCTATGTCATAGGATTAAATAAGAACTTTCAACTGTAGTTGAAACACATTGGTTAATAGTATCTGTCTCTCTCAACTACAAGGGCCTTAATGTCAGTCCAGAGTGTGGTCAATCAATGTTGATTCAATCATCCTAGGCCATATCTGCTGTTTCCTTTTTTATAATTGGCAAGAAGTTGCTCCCAACTGCCATTTTCTGCATCACAACTCCTTGGGATCTGCCCTCAATTATCTTTTAAATGGTCCTTTATTGCTGCTTGAGTATATTTCAAAACATCTACTTCTAGCAGTCCCAGTCAGTGGCTATAAAAAGGAAAAGTCCCAATTATAACTCATTTCCTTCTCTTGGAATATTTCATTCTACAAGGAGTATTTACTCCTATTCTCTAAATCCCAAATCTCTTTATTATTGTTGTTATTATCTTTTATGCTGCTGCTGGTTGGAGTGAGAATTATCAGTGGTGACTCAAAGTCACATGGCAAAGTGTTATTTCTTATGACACCATTTCCAAGTGTTCCCTATACACCAGGGTAAGTTAATAGATTTTGAACAAGAAAAGATTAGTCCGCCAGGTGTTGGTGGATCACACCTGTAATCCTAGCTGCTCAGAAGGATTTTGGTTCGAAGCCAGCCCCAGGCAAATAGTTCTTGAGATCCTATCTCGAAAAAAGGGCTGATGGTGTGGCTTACCTGTCTAGCAAGAGTGAGGCCCTGAGTTCAAACCACAGTGCTGCCAAAAAAAAAAAAAAAAAAGTCCTACAAATGTCTGTGAGGAATGCTGAAAAAAAGGTTTCTATAGAAGTCCTCAGAGCTTCTGATTAACTCTTATGCATCTTCATTGAGAAGAACGTGGAGAATACAGCTCTCTCCCCCCACCTGGACTTAACTGATGTCCCCATCCCCACCCCACATACAAAACCAGCACCACACTAAATCTGAACATGACAGACCTAACTCCAGGAGATGCTGTTCTCAGCCCTCTTCTTATTTTTTACTTTTGTTTATGTTTCTTCTGAGGTTTAATTTTTTGATATTGTCACATTTACCTGTTATTTTCTTTATGATTTCACTTTTGCTTCCAAAAAGAGAGAGAGAGAGAGAGAGAAAGAGAGAGAGACTGGAGATATAGGTCAGCAAGTGTGGCAGCATGCATGAGGCCCTGGGTTCATGCATGAAGAAAACAAAAGCTCTTTTCTTAAGTTCATAAAAATAGTCTTATAAAAGTCTTTTTATCACAGTCAGATGACGTATTTGTAAGTTTGTCAAGCCAGTTAGTCCACATTTCCCACTGAGACACAATGAAATGGAATCACAGACTACACTTCTCTATGCGTGTGTTGGTCGTGTACCAGTTAGGATTAGGGAAGTGTCTTCAGCAAGATAGAACTTCCTTTCTTTCTTGTGTTGTCCAGGTAGGCACTCTAGGGCTTCAGTGACTCTGTATACACATTCCATCTTGTTGCTTGGCTTTGAATGGTCTTGCTCCCATGATCCAATATGGGTAATACCATGTCTGCATTCTAGGCAGCAAGTGAAGGTACTACAGAAAAATGAGTAAGTACTTTCAAATGATTCCAGAAGCTGCCACATCACATGTCTGCTTGCATTCCATTGGCCAGAGCTAGGACATGGAGTCTTTATCCTGCCCACCATGTGTCCAGCTAAAAATTCCTTAAAATATTAACAGAGGAGAGGAGATATTAGGAGACAGCAGAAATCTCTGCCAAATCAGTTGCTGGAGTGTTTATTCTATTGCAGAGATGTATCTGAAAAAATTTTTCCAATACTTTAAACTTTTTATTTATTAAAAGATTAAAATATAAAAACTGATAAACAAGAAAATAATCAGTTAAATGCTACCATTCACAATTAATCACAAATAACTTCTTATCCTACCCACTCCTTTATAAAATTGCAAGATTTATGAAAATGATATATGTACACTTTAAATAATTTAAACAATACAGAAAAATTTAAATTACCTCAGTGCCACCATTCAAAAATTATCATCATAGACATCACATTGTCATCAATCCAGAAAGCTTTCTATGAGTATTTATAGACAGGAGGCAAGATAATAGAGATATTTTAAAGAAATGTGAACCATAATACAAACTACCTAAATAAAAAAGTATTGAAAATTAAGTACTTAATTTTGCTTTTTTTTTTTTTTTTGCGGTGCTGGGGTTTGAACTCAGGGCCTACACCTGTGAACCATTTCACCAGTCCTTTTTTGTGATGGGTTTTTTTTTGAGATAGGGTCTTGTGAACTATTTCCCTGGGCTGGCTTCAAACCATGATCCTCCTGATCTCAGCCTCCTGAGCAGCTAGGAATATAGGCATAAGCCATCGGCACCTGGCTTAATTTTGCTTAAATTTAAAAGAAGAAAAAGAAGTTGAAGTGAAACTGAAGGACGAGTTGAACTCCAAAGAACGTTTCTTGACCACAAGAAACTACTTCCTAAAAGATACCTCTAAGGTTAAATAAAAATGGTGAAAAGTTAGATTACAGTCATTTTCTTTCTTTTTTGGCCTTACTGGGGTCTAAGCTCAGGACCTCGTACTTGGTAGGTGGGTACTCTACCACTTGAACCACTCTGCTAGCCCTTTTTTGTGTTGGGTATTTTCCAGATAGAGTCTCAAGAACTGTTTGCCCAGGCTGGTCTCACATCTTGATCCTCCTGACCTCTTGCTTCTCAAGTAGTTAGGATTTTACAGGCATGAGCCACTGGTTATACTCATTTTTGTAAAGTACACATTTCAATTAGGAGTGTGCGTGTGTGTGTGTGTGTGTGTGTGTGTGTGTGTGTGTGTGTTGTTTGGAAAAGTTAGCTCTCATCATTTTCCCTATCTCCCCTGACCTCATCTCCTGACTTTTGTTACTTGTTATTGTTACATTGTCTGGTTTACAATCACCATATTCTGCTCTCTATAGTTACTTAGTATACATTCTAAATTTAAATTAATTCAGTTTAGGATGTGTAAGAATGCCCATTGCCTCTTAACCAGGTATAATATTCTTGAGTCTCAGGTCATGACTGGGGAGTGACCCAAGTGGTAAAGCAACTGCCTAACAAACAGAAGGGCCTGAGTTCAAACCCCAGTATTGCAAAAAAAAAAAAAAAAGTACATATATGTATGTATATGTGTTCATATATATATATGTGTGTGTATATATATATATATATACATATATATATATATATATATGTATACATTCTTGAGTCTCACCTCCTTTCCCACAGAATATGGTAAGTTTTGCATGTTTTTCTTCTGGGAAGAACTCTGAAGCCAGACCGGGCTGTGGCTCAATTTCAAGGCCAAGTTCAATTCCAAAAAAGAAGTCTGAGGCAAGCTAGAATTTTCCCTTTCATAAGTGATATTTTTTCCTGCCTGGATGCCTAAAGAAGTCATTCTTCATCACTTTTTTTAGTTCAATAACTAGGACATTTAGTATTAAATATTCTGAATCAAGCTTTTCTGGAACATAGTATGTTCTTTTAGTTTTGTTTTTTTCTGCATTAGAAGAATTCTCTTTGGGTGTCTGTTTTTGGTTTCTCTTCTTCGTGAATATCAATTAACCCTGT